ACCCCGAATTCTTCCCCCGGACCCCCCCCCCCCCCGCCCAATAGAAAAAAATAACAAAATAATAATAGAAAAAAATAAAAATAAAACAACCAAAGTGTATGGCCAGCTTTTCTTTCAATCAGATTGGTTGATTGGATTGGAAATTATCTAGGTCCTGTGCAAGAAAGCTTTGCAGTGCGCCTCAGTGGTCACACCGCTCAGTAACCACACCCCCTCCAGTGGCCACAACCATTTCTCCAATACCAGCACCATTTAAAGCCTCCCATTTTATTCAGCCCCAAAGAAACAGATTCAAAAGTATGATAAAATAAAACTTTTATTTAAAGGTATTAAACTTGTAAGCACAATATAAGTATTCTTATTAAATAAAACAACAGTAGGCAAGCAAGTGGTAAACAATAAATGTCAAACTAAAATCGAGTGTATAACAATAAAGTGTCAGGATGTCATGCAGACCCTTTCTTTCAAGTAAGTGCATCTAGAAAAGTACAAACAGAAAACCCAGACTACATGTTAAATAGTGCACACAAAGTACATGCTGCACACTGTTTACTGACACACAGTGCATGGTGCACACTATTGCATATGTATAATATGTGTGTGTGTTTCGGGGGGGGGGCTGTTTTTTTTCTTTGGGGGGGCTTCGGGGGGAATATTAGGGGTCTAAACAGACCCCTGACGTTTCCCTCTTGAAATAGAAAAAGAAAATGAGGACACAGCGTCCTCAATCTCTTTTTCTACAGCACCAGCACTGAATGAATGGAAAACACTCTGTACAAAGGCTTCCTATTCATTCACAAACTGGAGATTGTAAATATTTACAATATCATCCAGTTATGAATGGGTAGGAGCCTCAGTACTGAGCTGCTTCTACCGATTCAGAAATTCATGAATGAACAGGAAGTGATGTAAAGCACGTCCTGTTCATTCATAACTGAGGATACATAGTACTACCGTATGTGTCCCCTGTTGTTTACAAACATTGGAGTGATCAGGTATCACTGCAGTGTCTGTTCCCACAGAGTCGCTGCCGTCCTCACAAGGACAGCGGCTCTCCTCTCTCCTCCCCGCTTGGCCAGTGCACTCTCCTGCCCCCCACTCCATTTCTCCTCCGATTACCGCTGCCTCTGCCCATACAGGCGGGAGAAGGGGGAGCAGCAGGGATCCGAAGTGAAGCTGTAGACTGTTCCTACCGCCTTGTAGGGAATCTGGCACTGCTTGCAGCTTGTGTCATAGCGAGCAGTATCATCCGCCTGGCGCCCCTGTTGCCATGGTGCCCTGCGTGGCTACACAGCTCACACACCCCAAAGGCCAGCCCTGCATTACCAGGTACTGATAGATGGGATATTAGGAAGTATGAGAAGGGTCACTTTCACTAGTTTTCAGA